CCCTTCCCGTTCTGCGCCTGCCCAGGCTGGGGCACCGGTCAGCCCCTCCTGGGTCTCCCAGTGATTTTTAACGGCCTCTCGGGGTCCTGGGGTGGCCCCTCGCGAGGCAGCCCTGCCGCTGGGGGCGCAGGCCCAGGCTGTGGCGCTGTACGGGGGTCTCAGGTGGTGACAGGGGGGCTAGGTCCGCAGCCATGGAGGCGCTCGAGGTGTGACCCCGACCTCCGCGGCGCCCTGGCTCAGCTGTACCAGTGCCACCTCCGGCTGGCCCCAACACCCCCCCCCCCCCCCCGCTGAGCCCGAGTGCGGGGTGGCCGAGCGGCTGGGCCTGGCTGGCTATGGGCAGTGTGAGCCTGGGGCACGAGGGGCTCAGCTGGCCAGGCCTGGCGTCCTACCCAAGTGTGGCTGCCCTGTCCACCGAGGCCCAGCCCCAGCCTCTGGTGGACCCAGACTCCCCGCCCCCCACGGAGTCGGAGGAGCCTGCGGTGGGGCCACGCTGCCTGCCGAGACGGTTCCCAGATGGAGCCTGTGGCCGCTCCCCGCGGTCAGTGCACGCTCCCTGGGCTGCAGGCCCACTCACCCGACCTGTCCCACTCACGGCCCCCTGCTCTGCGCCCTACAGGCGGAGCTGCACCCCAACAGCCTGGCCTGCGCATAGAGGGGCTGGGGTGGGGTGGAGGGCGCCTCTCTGCCTGAGGGCACCACCTCGGGTCATCTGGGGCTTTGCTGAAGGCCAGGAGGGGTCATGGCAAGGATCGCAGAGGCTGTGCCGAGGGGCGGGCAGAGCAGAGACCAGGGCCGCCCGCTCGGCGCCCACGTCCAGGCGGCGCGGCCTGCTGCTGGCCGACTGAGCGCCGGGCTGACCGTCCTGGGCGGGGCTGGGGCCCTGCACGGCTCCCCAGCACCCCCGGTCCCGAGGCCGGCATTTCATGTCATTGCTGGTGAAATTGTCAACAGTGGAAACGTAAGCCGCACCCCTTGCCGGTGCTAGACCAGCTGGACCCCACCCCCCTGCCGGCGCCCCCCGCTCTGCCCCCCCCACCGCAGGGGCGTCCTCGCAGCCTGCTCCCCCACACGGGAAACGGCTGTTTCCTTCCCCCGGAGGCCGGCGCAGGCTCCCCAGCTGCGGGCGGGCGCCTGGGGGCCGGGCCTGGGGCGCCACGCGGGCGGGGTGCAGCGACCGCCCCGCTGTTCCCCGTGTTGCGCCTGCACTAACCCCCTGTTTCTCGTTTCAGCTACTTGTACAAGAATGAGATCCAGTCAGTTGACAGGCAGGCGTTTAAGGGACTTGCCTCCCTAGAGCAACTGTAAGTGCTTCTCCGCTCCCCGCTCCGCGGCCGGCGGCCTGGCGGGGCCTGCGCCAGAGGAGCGCGGCGGGCG